GGCTCCCCGGAGCGCCGGGCTTGTCCGTGGCCCCTGCTCTGCCGCCCTCCCGCGTTGTATTTCTCCTTTTTCTGTTCCAGATTTTCTTTACCCAATTTATTTCTTTACCTTTGTCTCCCTTCGTTTAAGTTTTTCTTTCTAACCATCTTTCCATCTTCCAATCTCTATTTTTCTCGTTACTTTTAACTTTCTGCCTCTTTCTCTTTTTTCTGTCCCTTCCTTTGCATTTTATTTTTCATCACCCTTTGTCTTTCTGTTTTTGTCTACCATTTTTCTCTTGTTTCTGTAGATTGTTATTCATGATTTCCCTTTCTTTTTTTTTTTTACGCTGGAGTCTTTCCCCTTTTTTTATTTACTTTCTGTCATCAAATTTTCCTTCATTTTCTCTTCTCTTTCGTTCTTGATATCTTTTTATTTTAATCGTGTCTTTTTATCTTTCCTAAAGCCTTATAGGTTTTCTGTGATTTTTCCTTTCCCCTTTTTTCTGTTACTTTTCCTCCTGGCCGCCTCACCCATTTTGCTTTTGTGATCCTTCCCTCTCCTTTTTCTGTATTCCCTGACTCCCTTGCAGTCTCTTCTCTCACCATCTTTCCTCCCACTTCTCCAAGCTCACGACCACCTCTTGATTCTCCTTACCGGGCTCCACTTGCCCTCTTCTGGGCCTATATCTAGCTGCATGCCATTCTCTGAGTCTGAAGCCCCCAGACTGGTGGGCGGACAAGCTTAATAGGAGATGCCCATCCTTTCTCTCTGCTCCAGAGTCCCAACTTCAAGCCTGGAGCCCACCCCGCCGGGAGCTCCCTACCAACTCCGCGGCGGGCTCTCACGGCAGCGGAGACAGTGGGTTGGCGGGCAAGCCAGTGTAGACGCGGCCAAGAGGCTCACCTTCCATGTCCCTGGTGACCGTGCTGAAGTGCATCCCGGCCAGGGATCCTGGTAGCAGTAGAAACTTCGCCCGGTTGGAGGCCCCGGGGCCCCGGTGGGCGGTGCCCTCTGAAGCCTCCGCTGCAACCAGAGAGGCGATGCTGAACGCGCTGGCCCGAGGAGAAAGCGGGCTCCAAGCGTCCATAGGCGCCCGCCGGCCTGCCGGGCGCCGCCTCCGACTGCGTGCGCCCAGCCGCACCGCGCCCAGTCCAGCCCACCGGGCCCAGGGGCGGGGGCCTGCGGTGCCACTCACAGCTGCGGTCCCCTAGCCCAGGGGATTATGGCGTCACGGGCCCCCACTTGGGGCCAGTACAGCCCAGGGGCCCGAATGGGTGGAATACTGTGGAAGTACGGGGACCTCCTGCTTTCCAAGCTATCCGCCCCTCGCCTCTGCTCCAGGGGCCCTCTGTGACCAACGCCCCTTGAACATCCCACAGCTCCTGCCAAGGCCGAGCCTCCCTCTGATAAGAAAAGCCACCTTCAGCTTCCTCAGCCCCAGAGGAAAGGCCGTTATGTCTGGAGCACCAAGTACCGGACAGATGGCAGGGCACCAAGGGGCTGCCTGGGCTCTGTCCTGCTCCTGCCCTTGGCTCCTCCCGCCTCTACCTCCTCCCCAGCTACCCCTGCACCTGGGTGAGGAGACGGCAGCTCCGGCTCCCGCGCCGGACACGGGCAGATAGCCTCAGGGCTGCGAAGTTCTCCGTTCCTCTGTGCGGCGGGACAGGACCCAGCTCAGCAAGTGTCCTACAGACCCCTTAGGACTGGCTGTCCTAGCTGGGGACCCAAGCCGGGGGACGCCGCCCAGGCCGCGCAGCCCGGGAGCCCGAGCTTCCCGCGCACCCGCGCGCACCGCCCGCCTCTGGCCTGGACGCTTTTACATCCGGAGGGTGGGCAGTGCCCGCTTCTCCGACCTCCCCGCGCACCGGCCGGGCGCAGGGAGGGCCGGGGGCGGGGCCTGGTCGGCCGACCGAGCCCCAGAACACGTCGGAGAAATTCAGGCCGCAGGGTTGGGTGTAGCCCACTTGCCACCCCACAGCCAGCCTGCCCACCGGAGAAGGCCCTGCTGCCCGTGGTGCCCGACCAGGCCCTCAGCCTTGGGTCTCTAGTCTCAGACATTCCAATGCCTAATGTTGGGCTCGGCCTGTGTCTTTCCTACTATTTCCCGGGGTCTCCTTTGACCAGTCCTTGGAGTTCCTGTCCAGGGTCTTCTCCAGCTGAGTGTCAAGCCTGCAGCCTTCCTGCTTCTCAGGAGCTTCATTGATCCTGGGCTAAGGCACTAGGCCGTTAAGGCCTCAATTTCCAAGGTCTTTCTTCCTAGGACCTTGTAGGCCTCTTGCAGCACTTGCTTGGGATGGAGGAGGTAGGCAAGTAGCCTCTCCCAGGTCTTACAATTTCAGGACCTCAGCCCCTGGGCTGTGGAGAAACCTAGCTGGTAGTCCACTTGATCCCAGTTTCCAGAAGAGTGGCCTCTAGCAGGAAGGGACTGGATCCAGGAAGGAGCTTGAGGCTGAGAGTACAGGGGGTGAGTATATATATGGTGCTGTGTCCTTGGTGTGGTGTAGGTAACTGTGTGTTCCCCCATTCCCCAGGCCTGCAGCTAGGGCCTTATGGACCATGCAGGGAAAGATCAGCTATCATCAGGGCATTCCTTAGGCCCTGAGTGGCCATTCAGGGCTGTGACAATGACCTGTCATCAAGGGACTATAACTGAGGGGACCCAGGACAAAGTCCAGGGAAGTGTACTGTACAGGGACCAACTCTGCTCTAGGCTCCTTTCTCTCTTCCCTGATCAGGGCCAATCCTTATGTCCAGGACTGCAGAAGGCATTGCCCCTGATGGAGGAGAGATCTTGGCTGTGGGCAGGTGAGAGGGTCATTGGTGGGTGCAGGCCATGGTAATGATGCAGGAGATAAGGCCCCTCGGAAGCCTGTGCCTAGAGGGGCCCTAGGGCCTGTAGACTGTGAGTGGGTCTCTATGTGGGGACATGAAGATGCGTCTCCTGCATGTGATGTGCATTATCAGCGTGCATAGTGCCCTAGAATGTGGGGTGCTCAAAGTTGTGTCCTGTGCACCTAAGGGAGCCTTCCCAGTGTATAGCACACCAGAGGCCAACATAGAAAAGGAAGAAAGGAAGAAGTGAAAGTGAAAAGCTCTGAAACTCTAGGTCAGGCCCTTAGGACGCTGTGCTGAGGTCCTCAGAACTCCCCCATGAAGATGGAGAATGGGAGCAATTCTCCCAGCCTGCCCTCCATTAACCCCTTAGTGCTGTGGCAGGACTTGATGGGCAAGTGGGGTGGACAAACGCGCCAGGACAAAGACGCAAACAGAATGGTAGAAACTCTGGCGACCAGAGGAGCGTTGGGAAGAGGTAAGGGACCTCATTCAGTCAGCTCGGTTGGTAACCCATCCACCCCACCCGCCGCGGATACTCACCCGCTTGATCCTGAAACCCATAACCACGTAACTCAAAGCCAAGACCATTAGGGGGCCTTACCTTGGCTGAAGGGACCTAAGGAAGCCCGAAGCCCTAGAAGCGCGAGGGCGTCCTAATCTCCAGACTGCGGCTGAGCCGAAGCCTCCGCTGTCCGTGGGGCAGAGCTCCTCTGACCCTCCCTCCCTCCCTCGTGTACCACACTGCCCTTTCCCTCTGCGCTCCGCCACGAACAGCCGCCCCCAGGCAACCCTCCGGAGCACATCTCTGCCCGCCAACGCCACTGCCTCACTCCGGTGCCGCTCGCAGCCCTGAGGGGGTGCGCCCACCCTGTGGCTCTACGCTGCGCACATTCTGGTTCCGCGGCACCTAGTCCGCGGGAAATATTCCTTCCCTCACCTGGATCCGCTGAGGCTCCCTTCCGTCTCGCTCCCCCTGCCGGCCGCGCCTCTGTTACCGTAAGTTTGGAGGCCTGGCTGGGAGCCGGCCCTGGGCGGACTGAGAGTCCCAAGCGCGGCCGGGGGTCTTGAACTGCTCAGGGTATGACTCCTTAGGGAGTTGTGCTCGGCTACTCGGCCGCTTCCTCCATGTGCCGCACAAAGTGAGGACGAGACCCGCATTTCTCCAAGCAGGAGGCGGCGAAGTGGGGGCTCTGATGAGACCGTTTTACAGGCCCTAAAACCGAGGCGTGTTTTGAGACTGGTATCCGGCAGATAAGGGGTGGGGACCAGATGCTTGATGAGTGCGGGAGGCTGGACCAGTGGAATGGGGCTGAAGACACCGGGCAGACTTTGCCTTGCCCTCTAGGCCCTGGGGCAGAGCCCCACGTGAGCGATTGGTTGCACCCCAGTCCTGCCTTTGGAGGCCGATGTGCCCTCGGCTCACTCACCCCTTGGCCCGGCATCTGCAGAGAAGTTGAACGTTGAAGCAAGCCTAACTTCCGAAGTTTTCTCCCCAGTGCGCAGAAGGCGGCCCCTAGAGAATCTTGGCTGCTCTGCTGCCTACCCAGCTCCGCCTCCCCAGGGCACACGTGGCTCCCCCAGGGGAGCCGTCAGACAGGCGCCCTCACGCCCACCAACCCCACTCCTCACTTCGCCTCCTTTGTAAAGACACAGCGCCGCTTCCTCGGCTCAGACTTCACTCAGCCAGCCTTGGAAGGACTCGCGAACCCTCGAAACCTCCTATGTGTTTGGAGTGCTCACAGCCCAGCCATCTTTGAGCTCAGGGGCTCCCGGGACTAGGTGCGCAGGACCAGCGGCCCCTGCGTTGGCCCCAGGATGTTTGGAGCAAATAAGCACACAGATGGGGTCAAAAGGGCCACAGTTTTCTAGCACTGGGAATGGCACAAGTGAGTGCCGCGTGGTGAGGGGGAAATCAGAGCACCGTGGGGGAGAAGGAGGCTCTGTACTCGCTAGGGCACAGAGGTAAGCCCCGAGAGGGGCTGGGCTTTTCTTGACCTGGTTAATTCGTTTCAAGATTGATAGCAGGGAATAGCCTCCAGGGCTTGTCTGGACGCAGCCTCAGTATCTCGAAGAAAGCCCATAGCTACTCCAGAAACAGCCTTCACCGGCCTCAGCGTCTCTGCCCCAGGCTACAGCTGCCTGGGACAGGCAGGCAGCCTGAAGAAGGGGTGTGTGTGTGTATGGGGGGGGTCGGGTGTTGGCCCCTCGCTGGAAACGGGAGAGGTGGGCATACCCGTAGGATCTGTCTCCCCCCCCCCATCACTCTCCCACTAAGCTTCTAACCCAGTAGCCGGCCCTTGCATAGCGACCCAGGCCCACTGGGTGCGCTGCATCATCCCTCCCTTCCACCAAGATATTTGGCCCCAGATGCTGGCAAATGCTACATTCTTGATGACCCTCATGGGCGTGGGCAGGCCTGGAAGCAGGCCAGTGTGACTTGCCTGGCTGTAAACTCCAGCTGCCAAGCGAGAGAAAAGAGGGTGCTGTGCCGCTTGGCTGGGGAGAAGGATCTGGCTTCGAAAGGTCTGCGTCAAAGGAGTGGTCTCATATTCCACCTATGCCTGCATATTGCACCACTGGCAGGAGCATCATATGAGCATCCCCTCCGGGTGCTGGGCCAGAACTAGGGGGCTACAGGAGCTTCTGGTGTGGCCTGCAGCTCCAGCCAGAAGGGGGGGGGGCAATGGGCTGTCCTAGCCCACTTGTGTCATTTGGCAGTGGTCTTTTGGCAACCTGGTGAGGTTGGAGACCCTTCTCCCCTGGCCTGGGATATCCATGAGATTCCTCCCCACCTGTGACTCAGGTGGCCCATACTAATCCTTGACCTTTGCTTCCCTTAGCTCCTCTCTAGGTGGTGGTTACGGCCCCTCTACTGAAACGGACATTTCTGCTAAGCCCACCCCAAGGTGTCCTCCTTAATCTCAGGACTTTACCCAAACTGTTAGGGGGAAGGCATTCTGTGCCTAGAGCTGAGCACTGTGGTATATGACAGGCCACAGTAGGGTTCACAGGAGAAGGACCAGGGACTCCCAGGAGGTGCCTTAGTGAGACTTGCCAGAAATATCTGACTGATAAAAGTCCAGGGAGTTAGGAAGAGCCTAGTATGGCTTGACAAGGATGCCTGATGGGGGTAAGCTGATGTGTAGCCCTCACCCCTCATATAACATCACTTGAGATCCTTCCTGGGCCTCAGAGACACCTGCCTTTTGTCCTGGGGCAGGGCCTGACCCATCTCAGAATTCTTCTGCCTAAACCCTGGAGACCTGATGACTGGAGGATGAACAAAAAGGAAAACAGACCCAAGAGAGGCAGATATGAGAGGAGGTAACAAGGGTGGGTAGAAAAGAAGACAGGACAGAGAGGCTTTCATCCCTGTGACCCCAGCCTGCTCAAGGCTGAGAGATGATGGGCCAGGGTTTACACAGCAGTGGATATCTAGTCCCCTGCCTTCTTTCTGCATAGAGCTTACACCCCTCCCGAATATGGGTGCTGTGTTTCTGGGCCAAGTTCTCAGAAGGACAGATGAAGAGAGATCTGGTGAGAGGGATGATGGGCCAGATGGGTGATAGCACCCCCTACCTTCCACCCCCATCTCTGGGGGCACCGAGGACCCCTGCAGGCTGGAAGTTCCCACAACTCCAGAACAAACAAACAAACAGACAGACTGATGGACAGCCAGGCTCTGGGCCCCTCTCCAATTTCTGAGACTGTTGATTTTAGCTGCCCACTTGGTGGGAGGACCCCAGACACATGGGGAGCTGGCTGTCCATCTTCTGGCCATGCTAGCCCTTCCTCTCCAGCACTGTCAGACAAAGGTGAGGTAGATGCCCAGATGGCCAGGCCAGTGAGGTGACCAGGTCTCTGCATATGGAGGTGACAGCTGAGGAAGCCAGCACCCTGCCAGCCCCTTCCCTCTTGTGGCCATACAGGAGGAACCACTTTATCCAGGGGAAGGGACATGC